TGAGAGAGTACACTACATGCAGTCCTAGCTAAAACAGTGTTCACTATTGGTTTTTTTTCCTACGACCATAATCCAGGAAACAATACTTTTAACTTTTTCAGGAGGCAATATTTTGGTTTATTTTCCCTCCATTTTCTCCCAGAAAGGATTGTTGTGTTGCTAGTTTCATGACTGCTTACTGTCACGACTACAAACACTATGGTGCTACAGATGACTGTGAAATGGGAACGCTCAAGCTAGCTGATTTAACCAGGAAGCCCAGAATGGAAATACATCAAAATCGCCATGTGCAGCCAAAGCAGCCTTTCCAGCAGCAGCAGCAGGCACTGGGCTTTCATACATCTTTTAGTTCGTCCACACTTCCAGCCTCTTCCAAACACAGAGGAAAATTTACTAACCTGCGTGATAGTGTAAAAAAGAGTCCTACAAAAAGCACAGCAAAAGTTAAAGCTGCTAGTGGTTGGGTGTCTGATGGCTCGTGCTCTAACTCTTACTTAGAAAAGGTACGTATTGCTTTAGGCACTTAGAGATGTGCAGTTTTGAAAGATGTTGTGCTCTTGTTGAATGAGATGAGATGTATATGATGCAGACTGTGGATAATATGTCGTACTTCTTTCTGTAGTTTAATACTGCTGTTGCCTTTTTTTTTCCCCACGTGTTTTATGGTTAGCAATCAGAGTAGTAATTAATGAAGTCCACTTGGCAAAGGGGTATTTCTAGTCACTATTTTCCCATTAAGATTATTGCACTCCATGCAATGTTCTTTTCAGATAGTAGCTTAATGAAAGGGAGGAAGGTGTGGTTTGCTTTAGTTTTATTCTCCAAAATATTATCTTCTGGTACTTGAAGAAGAGCAGCATCATGGAATTTGATCTGGTGATCTGCTTCCAGGTGTGTTCTGTGCTTTGATTCATTTCAGGTTAGTTGGTATTTCATCATAGAAAGTCTTACTGTGTATGTTGGTTGATGCGAAAATGGCAGTGTTATTTCTTTTCACAAGGTCTGGATTTTGGCATTAGATTTGAAGATGTTTACTGCCATAATTTTAATTAGCTCAATGCATTATTAAATTAGTTTTTCTTAAACATGCAACTTGTAAAGTTGATTATTTTTTAATTTATATAATTAGAATGTCTATCACATTACGCTGGTACCCAACAAAATTGGGTGACTGTTGTAATAAAATAACTTTTTAATGCAGATTTTCATGCATTTATTTCTGCTGTCAGATTCACTTAGTGTATTAGTGTTCAAGTTATGTGCTCATATATATAATATATATAATATGATATAGTCTGTCATAAATGTGCTGTTTGTTTTACACATTTTTAATTAGCACATTACTGTTTTTATAGTGTAAGTAGGTTTCTGTCCATTTAAAGCAGAATTATTCAGTGTTGTAGTCAGAGATGTATTAATTTTGAGTTATTTTGAGGATAAGCTTTTGTCTTTGAGGTTAATGTAATGTATTTATTTGACAAATTCCTAAACATTGGAGGAACATTATTAAATATGTTTGCTCTAAAATTCCTAGGAAAGAGAGCACTGAGATGATGCCTTGGGCTGTTGGAGCCTGTTCAGCTGCTCTCGCGGATACCATTAGCACATAATCATTTTCAGACTGATTATGTGGCATAGTGAAGTAAAATTAGTATTCTTCTTCTCTTATTAAGACTTTCTAGGTTAGAAACCATGTCATTTCTTGCGTTGTCTGTTACTAATCAATAATCCAAAGTGATCAGATGATGTTTTTTGGGTGCAGTGTTAAGGAGCAGGGCTAGTTCTTCTGTTGGCCCTGCACTTCCCCAGCCCCAGTTCACTTTAAGTGATTTGGTCTTTCTTAGTCTTTCTCCAAGGGTACGTAGAAAAATATATACTAATGTAGAAAAAACAGATACTGAGGTGTTCCCCTCTTTCTTGGGTTATGCTGTCTCTTCCTTTCCTTGCAGCATCTCTCTTTCCCCACGCATATTCTTCATACATACAGCTTGCGGACCTCAGATCTGCAGTTCTGTTCTGCTGCTTCACCTTCAGGTGCATTGAAGGGTGTTGGTGCTGGGAAAGGGAAGGAAGGGAAGTACAAAGTGTCTGCATGCCCACTCTGGAAGTTGCTGTATGCTGTAGCCCTGCTCTGGGAAGGAGGAGAAGTAGACAGAGGTGTGTCTGGGGACATGTGCAGCACATGCAGACCTGAGGCTGAGTGCCACTGACACTGTGGAACATGAATGTCTTATGACCTACCACACGTGTGCAGACTGGATGTATTGTTTCAGTGTGTAAGCCACTGTCAGCGTTGCAGCCCACTTTGCTAACTGAAACATGCCAGATGCTGCTTTTTTGTTTGCAGATGTCTGCTCTGCTAATTGCCCTTGTAGGGTTCTGTTGTTCCTCTTCTAGTTTGGGCTCTGATCACAGCAATGGTGCAGTGAGCATTGAGCATCTTGGATATGGCATGCTGTTGTCCTGTAAAAAGTTGCAACAACTTTCTTGTTTCTACTGCCGATGCTTTACCTGTATGCATTTCAGAAAGTGTTCCCTTTTGGGTGATTTTGGTGGGTGTTTTATTACTAGCTTCTTGCTTTTCTGAGAGTGTCTGGCATCCTCCATAGCATTACAGTCCCCAAAGTTAAATTTCATGTAGCACTGTGGTCTGTATCGAAAGCCAGGGTGGTGGAATTGTGTGCAAAGAGGGGGTTCTAAAATATGTAATTAAATTAGCCTATCTGAAATACAAAATGGCACTAAAGATAACTCTTTGCGAGTTCTGTAATTGAATAATTAAAAGCTTTACTTAAATGGTTCGGATAATTTTCCACTTGTGTGAATTGTAAGTCAAGCAGTAAAATTCAAGTAATTCAGCGTGTGTTTCAAGGCTGGGCTTCCTCTTTTCTACCATTTCCTGTCTGCCTTGTGGTAGCCACAGTGCCTGCATCAGTTCCTGTACTCCATAAAACTGCTCACATTTAAGTGAAGATAGTTTTATCTTAACCTGGGTTTGCACATCACACACCGGTGGAGGGCACTCAATGGGAATGTTGTTAGGCAGCTGGGTTGAGCAGGGCAGGCTGCTAAGGCAAAGTGGATACCAAATCAACAGCATCAAGGAGAAAACAGTGACCATGCTAACAGCTCACAAGACTGGAGTCTTAAAGCACAAAGGGTTATGAACAAGACCAGTTTTACAAGATTAATAACAACAATTAGAATTGGAACTGTTTGGGAGAGCTCTTGAAGTGACTGGGAATTAGAAACCCAGACAGGGCATTAGGGACTGAGAAAGAATGAAGCACAGAAGTAGAGCTGCCATCAATACAATGGTAGATGTGTGGATTGATGTACAAAGAAAACTTCTACTGTATCAGTCAGTTACTTTGCTGAGCCAAAGAGCAAGTGGTTTCGTGGACTGAGAGTAACATGGGCTTTTTTTTCACCTTTTCTTGTTCCAGGAGCTGTAATTGTAAAGAAGGGCATTTCTGACCTGCTCATGGTTAACTTTTTTCCCCTAGTGCTGTATTTTAATATCTGACTGTTTGCTTAGTAGGAGTTTTACTCTGTTCACATAGGTGAAGCTGCTTGTTTTGGAGCAAGTCAGATTTGAAGAGGAGGTTTATTTTTGTTATGTGGGCTAAGTAACTACTGAAGCCATTTAATTTGATCTGTCCTCTAAAGGTTGCACCATTGATCTCCTGGTAACTGGACGTTTGTTGTACTGAGCATGCCCCACATTTTTTGGGAAATGTGTTTTTCTAGACCAAATTAGATTCTGGTACCCCTCTCCTCCCTTACTTAAGCACACAAAAGATTTTACTGCAGTCCTCGTAAGCACCGTTAAATGAGATTAGTAATAATCTCACACGACATCAAAGGTACCTTGTTCTATCATCTATCAGTAGCTGCAAATTTTTCACCAACTGTTAATTTTAGATAGAGTTGGAAAGAAAAAACAAACATCGAAATACCATGGCTGTTTTTTGTAAGGGTTACTTCTCTTGGGTGGTGTTTGGTTTCTTTAACCTTTGTTATTACTTTTTATTTTGGTTATGCTATTGATGTAAGTTGCTTTGTGTTCTAAAACAAAACCCAAAAACTGAACTTTTAAAATGCTTTGTACTTATATGTTTGGGAGATTTGTTTACTTTCAGCATGCAGTAATTTCATTTTGTCATTATACTTCAGCATATTTTTACGAGAATGTCTTGGAACAACTGAGTTGCAAAGAACTTTGATCTGTTGTTCAACTTGGGATTCTGATGGTGGTTGCCATCAGTTTATGTTGTTGACAGCTTGTTGACAACCAGAATGTTAGCACCTCAAAATGAATTTGAATCAATGTTTTGCCCAGAATGCTATTTGTAGTCTTGTTCCCTCGTAGCTTATGTGTTAGTAGCTTTCCTGTTTGAATTAGAATGTCCCAACCCAAAATCCTACTCAGCCAAAGATGTTGTGCTGTATATTCGTATGCCAAACCTTTATAAAAGTCATTGAAATGATTAAATGAATCACTGTTAGGTTCTTTCACCTGTTTGAGGTAAAGATTTTCTTAAACTTGGGCTCAGTTTGGAAAGCCCAAAGTACCTTTGATTTTTCCCATTTATAAAAAAAAAAACAAAACTTTGTTCTGCGCTATCAACTTCAGTCATTGCATCCCTTTTTTTGTTCATTGCTGTATAATTCTGAGGGGCTTATGTTGTGAAACCAGCCCACAAAAACCTTCATTCTGTCCAGTGATGTGAGCAACTTTTCTTTTGTACCACTAAAACCTTCGTACCCTGCACTGCCAGGTGAGTAGCTTGGTGCGAACAAGTGACGTGGATGTGCCTCACTTCTGTGGGCACTTTGATATGAGCACATTGCTTTTTGTCTTCTTTCAAATATAGTTACAGTTTTCAAATCATTTTGTTTGTTCAGTTTCTTTTTAAATGTATTAAATTTAAGTTTTGCTTGTTTGAAAATGTTTTTGTAGCTTTCCTTGTTTTTGACATGCTGTTGGTGATTTTTAGCCTACAGAAGCTGTTCCTTCCTCTTCTCCCATTGTCCCTGTGATCCCTGTCCCACCAGTCCCTGCTGAGACCACTGTCATCCCATCCACCATACCACAGGTTTTTATTCTTTTTTGTTGTTTTTGATAGATTTGTTTTGCTCTTATTTATGTGATTTATTTCATTCCCTTGTTTAAATTAATGTTTTGGAACTCTGGCTTGGGTTTTAGATGAACTATGAAATAGTTAAATTAGTAATGCATTACTGTTTCATCCTGGTTTTTGTTTTATAGCAGATTTTAGTCCATTTAAAAATTATGTATTTCATGTAGAAGAATATTGATAATTTTGTGAAATAACTAAAAATAACACCCCAAAAGAATGGGAAGAAAGTAAAGAATTGGGTATTTTGTGTTCTAGAGCCAGTCAGTCATCCTTACTGATGTATTAGTTAAATTATCCTTTCATCTCATATACTCAATAAATGTTTTTCATTCATTGATTTTTTTCTCCTATTCTCTTCTGTTCTATTTCTGTTGTTGGTATTAATATGATTGGGGCACTCTAAGATATAAAAGGAGTTTTTTTGTTGCATTTTTAAACTCTACTCCTAATGATTTACTTCACAGACTGAACTTAACTTCTTGGGTGTCATCCTTTAGGTCATCCAGTGCCAACACAAAAACAAACCACAAAATGCATATTGCCACCAAAGTTGCCAGAATGTAAGAGTAATTTGTAAACATGAGTTAACAGTAAATTCTTGTGTATAATTTTGAATGTGTCACTGCAGCATGGCTGGCTGTGGAGCAATTTGAAATAAGCAGCGGAACATTTTTGGAAATGAAAACCGTTCTGCTTTTATTTTATTTGGACTTTTATTGTAAATTGTAGTGCAAAAACTAATCAGTGACAGGTCCACACCTTTGAAGAAAATGTGCCATCTCTTGGAATTGTTTGGTGACAGATACGTTAACTTTAAAAGAGAATTAAGCTGTCAAGAATAATACTGGGATATTTCTGTAGTGTGTACATTAGTAATTTTTCCTTAAAAATCCACTTTCAAGCTGCATGGCTGAACCTGCAACAAGTGGCAATCTTTATCTCTGTATAAATTTTACCCAATCCAGTAACTTATCAGAAGGTTTTAGTCTGTTCTTCAAGTCCAGTTCCTAGTGGGTAGGTGTTTACATGGATCTGTCACCCGTACTTTTCTTACCAGGCAGACCAGAAATGTGATTACTGTCAAATCTATTTCCTTCTTTTGGAGGGATTCTGTCCACATCACATACAAGACAGACAGACCAGGGCACCCAGTGGGACTCTGCTGTCAGATTTGATGAATAAAGATAGTTGAGTCTCCAGTAACATTTACTTTCAGGGTACTGTCAGCTAAACTGAATTTAAAATCATCGTAATAATAAGCACTACCATATGTACTTATGTGTATATATATACTTGGAGAATATAAACATATCTATAGTTTCCTTTGACGCTACTTAACTGCCATTGACAGTCTTCATATCTGCTGACTGGTGCTGGCTTACAGATAGGACAGCGAGAATTGAGTGATCAATGCCTCTGTCTGCTGGGTGTGTATAGTGCCTGCAGGAGTTAGCTATAGAATCCTGCATCATACATAACTCCAAGCAATTAGAAAATATCATAGGAAGTTATCAACTTTGGATTTGGCAGATGCATTTTTGTGAAACAGATACATTTCTTTACTTTGTTAGTCATTTCACCCCTTAGGCAAGCCCAAGTCTGCTTGTAAACAAACTTGTCAAATGGCTTTTAAATATTTGAACAAGCACTGGCACAGTAGGTCGGAACTGTTGGGTAATTTGGAGAAGTCTTGCATAACAGACCGAAATACCAGGTCTTCCTTCCAAAAGCATTTGCTATTTTGAGTTAGATGCTGCCCTGTATCTTTGCAGTGTCCACCCCTGCCTTTGGAAATGGCTGGCACAAATCTCTTCTCCTTCCTGCTTGGAAATCATGGTAAATGGTTCTCTCTGACAGAGAATGTGGATAAGTGCCAAAGGAGTGCTAAGACCAGTCACTTAATGGAGGATATTTTGTATTTGTTGATTGGTTGCTCTCTGAAACCTTTCACTGGCACTCCTGTTGGATTACTTTCCTATTGCAGAATTGTAAAATTAAAATAAATTATGAAATTGAGTGCAATCTAAAAATGTTGTTAAATCTTCAAAAATAGTTCTGGTTTTGTTTTGTTTTGTTTTGTTTTTTAAATTATAAATTGAAAACTGATTGATGCTGCTCTAGTACAAAATAAACATTATTTATGCTGATCTCTTGTAGGTCCAGTGGAGATTAGATTCCTAATTAGTCACTGAATACATGGAATAGTCAGGTTCTTTAATACAATAGATTGTTTTGACGAGCTTTGTATCATGACAATGGTTACTAATACTTGATTTAGGTACTGGATGAGGTCTATCTGTGTGTATTATGAAAGAACTGCTATGTGAGAAGGGTATTCAGTGGCAACTGGACAGACTCATAAGTGTCATCCATTTTGTTTCCTTTTTTAAAATAAGCTCAATTAACTAGTATAGATACCTTTTGATTTTAGTACTTACTAAACACTGGAGACCAAGCTTCTGACACATCAGCCTAATAGCAGACTGATAACTCCTGCCTGGTAATGATAGTTTATTTTCATCTCAGTCTAAGTCAGTCCTTTGTGGCTTTTGGGAGTGGAACTGTATTTCTCAGAAGTATGTTGTTGTAATTATAATGAGGCTTTTGTAATTGCAATGTTTTGTAAGTCTTTGAGTGTGTTAAATACTAGCTTTTATTACAGATAGTTAAACTGAGACACATATGCTTAGATATGTACATACATGTATGAACACACAGAAAGATGAAAAAAGATTAAGAATATCTTAATTTTAAAGATGAGAAGTATTTATACATAAAAAATGTATTCAGCTTCAATGGAGTTGAGATGAATTTTGTGTTGTACCACTGAGGTTGTGCATCCCATATTGGACTTAATACTTCAACATTATTTGGGATAAAGAATGTATTTCCACACCTTTGTGTATTTTTTTTTGTTGTTCTTAGACCAGGCTCGATGCCAGCATTTCCAGTCCCACTGCCTGTGGTCTTGGAAGCTCCTCTGTCAGTGGGAACAGCCTCTAGTTGTATCTGAAAGAATGCAGATTCTTGTTGTTTCTCTTCTTGTGCTTGCTGTTAGGATGAAGTCTAAAAAGTTTATATCCTACTCACTCTATCTAATATATTAAAAATAAAAGTTAAAAAACAAACAAACAAACCTGCAACTGATTTTAAGGGAGATAGTCAATGAAAAAGTAAAGAATCTATTTCAGGCTGTTTCAGGGAAATTCTTCCAATCCGTATGGATTTTCTTTCAGCTGAAACTGCATTTTCATTGGAATGTTCTCAATAACATAAGTGAATAAAAATGTTTCTTTATTCAACCCTTTCCCAGCCAGCAAGAATGCTATGTAATTTCCTATTTCTATGGCAGTAATCTCCAACCTTCTTACAGCCTATGAGTTGATAACAAATTTCCAATGGAAGTACATGCTGCCATGAGTGAATGTCTGCTGATATGGATTTGCTTTCACATCTGTTTTGTGGATCTTCCATAAGTTTCCTTTTATAAGTTTGCTTTTTGCAGCTTACAATTCTGTTTTGAAACAAACAAACCAAAAATAATACAAAAACTTCCCAGTAGAAGAAAGATGTGATCAATGCCAACATTTGCATTCAGGATGCTGGCTTATAAAGCAATTTTGAATATTGCATCACAAGTAACTGATATTGTGTCAAATTATGGCATGTTTACTTTTTTTTTTTATCCTTTTGAAAAACAAAATGAGAGACAGAATTTGTATACAAAATAAATAAGCTCAGAGTTTGTCTTTGGCAGGCAAGCACTTTCTTCAGGCTAGAAGCAAGTGTTTCAGAAGAGTCCATTTTAGAGACTCTTAAGCTGAGGTTACCTTTTAACAGTCCTCTGAGAAACCCAGCAAAACAAATATTGTGTAATTACTGTTCATATTTTCTCTTATGTTGTATAATACATATAATTTTTAAATTTTTCTTTTAAAGGCAAACCCACCTCCAGTTCTGGTGAATACAGATTCTTTGGACACTCCAACATACGTAAGCATACACTTCCTTTCAATTACAACTTTGTATAATGCTAGTAGCTTGGATCTTTTGTTATTGATCAACGATGTTTATTTTACCTTACAGTACATGGATTTGTTAACTCCACTAATAGTTAGTTGAAATCCTTAAAAAGCTGTTTTACAAAAACCAAACAACAATAACAACAAAAACACCCAGAAAAAAAAAATCTGTAGGCTGTAAGGGGAAGGTTCTGTATGGGTACAGCTGTGTGACAGTGCAACACAGTGTAGAATGCAATTGATTGGATGCTGAACCCCTGAAATCTCAGAACAATATGTTTCTTCAGCTGCTCAGGTAGATGCTTTCATATTTGAAGTGCCATTTTCCATTTCCATTGCACTTTTCATAAAATACTTCTCAGTGCAGTGGCTATACTTAAGCTTATAGTGCTCTAAGTGTTCATAGAAATTGTTGGATCTGTGCAAAACAGTAAGTGATAAGTATAATTAGGTGGAGGCTCAAATCTGTGTTCTGCAGTATATGGTCTGTGATAAGAACAACACTGGCAGGTATAGACTCTGGAAGCATTGGAATGCATGCATGTTTGACACAAGTGTCAATTTTTCCTTCTGTACCTTTCTCCTGCAGTTCCTTATGCCCTGCTTTCTTGTTTTTTTAAAACAATATTAATATCTGCACTAGCTTATATTTTGTTTTCTTTCTAGGTATTAGCAAGTAAAGCACAAATTTATGCTTGCTAAGTAAAGAAAAAATAAAATTAAAAAAAGAAAACACCAAAACAAACAACAACCAAAACCAAACAAATTAAAGAACCTTGCTCTTGTCAGAAGCATTCATGATTAAAGTTGTTAAAAAGGAGCTGCAATAGGCAACACTCAGGCAAAAGCATGTATTACTTGAAGCAGAAGACAAAAGATTAGTACAGTGACACAATTGGCTCATAAGCGAATCCTTAGAATGAATTACTTGCCTGAATAAAGGATGACAGCAGCAGTCTGCAGTATGTGAGTCTTTTAGTGATGTGGCACAGATGTTTTAGGAAAGAATACTGAAAGTGGGGTGTCTGCACACACAAACTACATTGGGAAGATAAGCAATGAATAAAAATGCTCTCACATTTCAGAAGACCTGGGCAGAGCAGTAGGTAATAGCAACAGAAAACAGGACTAACAGAGCTTATAATTTTGAGTGTCCATTTGTTATCTAAACTACCAGTTTACAAACCCATAGCTAGCTATAGTTATATCTAACCAACTGTGTAAGTATAAGAGGTAAAGAACCTGGACATATCTTTCTAGATTCCCACATAGTTACATGGTATGTAACATAAAATCTTATCTGTGGGTAACTGCATCGTGCATCTGTGAAACTATGAAAGATTTTCTACTAGTAGGAACAAAATCCACCTGAATCTAGAAAGTCATCAGTGAATAAATGTTCAAGAACATAGCTCTTGTTATCTGAATTACAGAGCTGCTGAGAATCATAGAATGCCTTGGGTTGAAACAGACCTCAAGAATCACTACGTTCCAACCCCCTGGTGTGTGCAGGTTGCCAACCTCTTGATCAAGTACCAGCTCAGGCTGCCCAGCACCCCTACCCAGGCTGGCCTTGAGCACCTCCAGGGGTGGAGCAGCCACAACCTCTCTGGGCAGCCTTTGCCAGAACCTGACTGCCCTCTCAGTGAAAGACTACCCCCTGACATCTAATTGAAATCTTCCCTGCTTAGGTTAAAACCGTTCCCCCTTGTCCTATCACTATCTGCTGAAGTACCAATTGGTCTTCAAAGAAAATTGCTTGTCTTCCATTGTGGCATTACAGCATTTACATAGTATACTGTGATGTCTTTGTTCGTACAGGGAAAGACCCTGCAAATATTGCTTGCCTCAGCAATCCAAGATCATTACAAAACTTCCAAAAAGTAGAATAGGACTGTGATTTTTATCACTTTGCATACCCTCGCCCTTCCTGTGCTAATGCTTAGTTCACTAGATAAAATCGACTTGACAAGTATATCGACTGGGGAACTGAGCTAAAGTAAAAGACAAAAAATGATGGAGATTCTTCTTTACTGCCATTATCTAGTATATATTTTAAATTTGAGTTGGAGTGTTGCTGAGATCTATTCGGCTTGCTTTTTGTTGATGAACAGGAAAATGATTAATCATCCTTGTTTATTTAAAAGAAAATAAAAAGAAGTCAGGTGCTGATCAGTCATCGTGAACCGTTTCCCAGGTGCTGTAATACTAGACAAGTGGTTCACTTAGCACATGGCATTTTTGTAGATAATAGTTCAAGGACTAAGCTAACATAAAAACATCTTGATCACAGTGGCTTCTTTGGTGTTGTTGTAGTAATGGATCTGGTTTCATGTATTCCGAAGGTCAAGACCTTTTCCTTTTTAATGGAGAAATATCATGTGTTAAAAACAGAGTATCTTTTCCATTGAACAAACTATTAGGACATATCATTTTTGAGGTACTGTGCAAAGAGGAAGATAATGATCTGTTAGGTCTGCAATGGATATGGGTTGTATTGCAGTAAAGGGAGATGTAATTAGAGGTTAAGAAAAACTGTAGTGAGGCGTAAATGAGCCTGATACTGGGCAGTCTGTGAAATGATGGAGTCTTCAGCTCTGGCTGCTGAAATAAATATGAAAGAAATTAAATTAAATATGTTTTACAAACATGAGGAACGCTGTAGATGTGATCTTAATTTTGTTCAGAGTGAAGTGGAAGATACAAAGTAAGAATGGAGAAGATTCTTTGTAAAACAGTTAGAGAAATGTTATTCCTTATTTTGCTTAGTAGTGCTAAACCATTAAAAATGGTTAAGAATTTTGGCATTTAATTGTGGGTTTTTTGAAATTGAGATATTAGTCACTTGTTCTTTGTGTCCTACTTCTGTAGGCAGCAAAGAATGGGGATATCCTTTCTAAATTGTGGGTAACAAGGCTTCTCTTTTCTTCATGGCTTACTATGGCTTACTTCTAGGAGTTTTTCTCATCTAGCTTCATAAAATATTATTTTAAACTCTTCTGGTTTCAGTCCTGTTGTGATCTGTTGGACTATAGTATATATGTAACATGATAAATATTGGCATAAATGATTGTTGGATGTTGCTTTAGAAGGGCTTTATTAATTTCCAGTGAGAAATAATGTAAAGCATCAATATTTGATTTTTCTCTGGTCTGTGAGGAACAATAGTTTGAAAATACTGCTTTCTTTTTTCATACAATTTTTCCTTCACACTACAATCCCTTCTTTTTTCTCACTTCTAACTTGCTGTATGGCCTGAGGAACAGCAAGAGCATTTTATTCAGCAAGTCAGAAATAGGTTTCTGCTTTGCAGGTTCCATGTAAAACAGTCTGCTCGTGGAACTTTACATTTAAACTAATACAGAAAGTGTCTGATGATGCATGAACGGAGCGGTGTGAAAAATCACACTCCTGAGCTCGCTGATCAGTGCCAACCAGCTGAGATTTGGTTTGGAATGAGCTGCCAGCATAGCAAATTGTATTGTAGAATGTATAAAATTCTCTAAGTCTTGGTTTTATTTCTTTTCAGGTCAATGGCACAGATGCAGATTATGAGTATGAAGAAATTACTCTTGAAAGGGTAATATACTGAAGTCTTCCCATACTTTGTTGTCATGTGGGGTTTGTAACACATAAATATGAAAAATCAACATATTTTAATATCACAAATTGACAGTTCTTTTAATATTTTTTATCAGTTAAATTATATAAATTTAGGTTTATATTGAAACAGATATAATATTTTTTCTCCAAAAAAGAAATATGTAATTTTTCCCCCTTCTACCTTTAGGGAAATTCAGGACTTGGCTTTAGCATTGCAGGTGGCACAGACAACCCACATATTGGGGATGATTCAGGTATTTTCATTACAAAAATTATAGCCGGAGGTGCAGCTGCACAGGACGGAAGATTACGGTATGATGACTTTCTGTATTGGGTTGCTAAATGTTTATTATTTGTCAAACAGTTGATAGAACATTCTCCTTGCTTCAGTTATCATATTACATTGCATTTTAAACAAGTTGAGCTTAGCAATTGCTCTCTTGTATGCTTGGTTTCATTCTGTGTCTTATTTTTTTAGAGATACTGCATATCCTCAATGCCATATTTTCTGTTTAAGATGATAGAGTACTTCTTTCTGTAGGACCCCTCGTTTTCTTATTTACTTAAGGGATGATACTACTACTTAACTACTAGTAAGGAAATGTTGATTCATCATTAGCTAGTAGAAAATGAATTTGCAACTTGATTTGAAGTTACGTATTAATAACAAATCGTATTTATGAATTATTTGAAATTATTTATAAATCTAGAGCAGTCTCTCAGTAAACTCTTGTATAACCGTGTAAAGGAAAAATAAAATAAGAAAAGCTGGTTGTAAGCCTAGCTTTTTTGTGTCTCGTTCTCTTCAGAACTTGCTCCTACCTTATTTTGTGCAAATGCCTGATTGACTTAAGTGTTTTAGTCTTATTAAGCTTATTTCAAGACTTTGTTTTAGCCTGTTTGGCACTGTCAGAAGATACATCTGGCAGAACTTAGGGACAAGTGGGTCAGACATTCTACTTACTGTAATGAGAGCTCAGTGTTACTACAGCAACACATTAAATGGAAAGAAAAGCCAGCACTTAAATAGCTTGTGGAGAGCAGGAAAGGAGCTTGACTTGTTCATATCATGGTTTAAAACTAGTGAATTCTCACTATATAATGCCTAGTGTCTGACTTTTTAAAGTTATTTTTTTATAGCTCTAAATGGAAGGTAGTTTGTACAAAGTCATCTGCAAAATTCTATCTCGTGTTTCATCAAAAGAACATCCTCTGAAACTGTGGAAAATATTCCATTTATATATTTTCCAGTTTTATATGTCCTTTGTTTTATTTTTTACGCATTAATTTTATATTATTATATAAATATTATTATATTATTAATAATTTTTTATTTTAATTTTATAGCGTTGTTTTGAATTACTTTAATTTTGAAGCAGAATCTGTGTATCTGACCACGTTAACAAGTGTTTTAGTGTATTTTCAATAGAATGTTGGACTCCTACTGAGTCTGCTCTGCTATAACACAACAGCTGAACATGAATATTGCTGTCTCTAGGGTTAATGATTGTATCCTACGAGTAAATGAGGTTGATGTTCGTGATGTGACACACAGCAAAGCAGTTGAAGCATTGAAAGAAGCGGGATCAATTGTGCGATTGTATGTCAAAAGAAGAAAACCAGTGACAGAAAAAGTAGTGGAAATAAAACTTGTAAAAGGCCCTAAAGGTATGTAGGAAGTAGAAAACTCCTCAGGAGATGGATAGAGTTGATGATAGATTTCTGCATTTAGTACTTAAAGAACACAGAACGTTGCATGTGAAATTCTAGGAGATGCAAAATAATGCAAATTAAGGCAGGCATATCATATATTTGCATCCGTGTTTGTTGGGGCTATTCTTGTAGAATGTATTTTTCATTGAACTGTTAAAAATGTGTGTAGTTCAATTGCTTTACTGATAGTATTTAGTAAACTTTAAGTACATTATAAACAGGAGTGAAGTATTTAATGTAAATTTCTTAGATCTTTGAGACATTAAAAAAAAGTTTAGCGTATTCTTTTGTTTCTATATATGGATGTGTTGGAAAACAGTTTTTAAAGTATCAGTTATGATGTTATAGCTTTGCTCTGTGTGTCTTTCACAATGCATGAAGAAGACAATTAGATTTTCAGACCACCTGTGAATGTTATTGCTTTTCCAAAACTTTCTGGAAAATCATAGAGTTTACTTGGAAAGGCACCCAGTATTTCTTCAGCAGCAGGCTAGTGTTTTTATATGTATGTACTCATGTGTGATACAGGTAGCATTACTATTCATACAGTCATTTGAATCTAGGGGATGCTATAAGGTTTCTTGAGTAATGACTTTATCTTCAAGCAGGTCTTGGTTTCAGTATTGCTGGCGGTGTAGGAAATCAGCACATACCTGGAGACAACAGCATCTACGTAACCAAAATAATTGAAGGAGGGGCAGCCCACAAAGATGGCAAACTTCAAATTGGTGACAAACTTTTAGCTGTAAGTAAAAGCAGCAGTTTTTTTGTGAGTATTTACTTTTAGACTCAGTAAGGACACAGCTCAGTTTGTGATGAAGCTATGTGTTCGTGGAGAACTGTGCAAAAATAAATATTAAAAAGAAGATTTTAAATCTGCATTATAGGAAGTGCATATCTGTGTACCAGGGATAAAACAAGAATGTAAGAGTTTGCTTTTGTACGAGTAAATTGACAGTCTAATAAAAAGAGAAGTTGTAGATTTCAGCAAATGTCTGAGGTAGCATGACATAACTTGTAGTAAGAGGTTAGCTTTGATTTGAATTGCTCTCCAGCTAGGAGAGAGGATTAACTAAAAACGAAAAGTGAAGAAAAAGGGAGACAACTTTGTGTATGCTTATGAAATTTGTGATGTCATATTTGCTCTATTTGTTTTCCAAAGTAATGTTTTCTGCTTTTATGGTGTTACTGTCAGCACTGTTTGCTATAATAACCGGAGCTTTTTATATTATTTCCATTTTTTATAATATTTCATACTATATCATTATAAAATATTTAATATCATTTTAGAATATTCCATATTTTATAATCTTTCACATCACTACATAGAATCTTTTATGTAGTTGGGCCAATTGTGTCTTTGGTATGTGAATCATAATAAGACTCCCAGTGCTACATTGCTTCAAGAGATTTCAGTGAGTGTCATATGAAAACCTGCATTTTTTTGTATTGAGAATTTGTTTCTTTTTTATATTTAGGTGAATAGTGTTTGCTTAGAAGAAGTTACTCATGAAGAAGCGGTGACTGCCTTAAAAAACACTTCTGACTTTGTTTATCTGAAAGTTGCAAAACCCACCAGCATGTTCATGAATGATAGTTACGCCCCTCCTGACATCACAAACTGTAAGCTTTTCTTTGTGGCATATTTTTCTCTTTAAGGCTTTAACATATTTCATTTTAGTACTTTAATTTTAAAGCTTTTTAAAATTAAACCTTCAATGTTATGTAAATTTGATCAAACATGGTTGAAGCAACTATGGCAGCAACTGCAGAAGCAGCTCACCTCAAAGATACTGCTGTTTGCTGATGCAAATTCTAGTACTACTGTTAATCATTTGAAATATCAGAAGGATTTACTCTTCAATAGCTTATAATAGATCATATAAATTGTATTGAATATTGTGAATACTTTTTACTGCTATATTGGAAGATTTTTTTCTATTAATCCAAACTGACCTTTTGTTCAATTGCTATTTCATTCACTCTAGGATTTTTTTTCCCCCTATAACCAAACATTCTAAAGTAGGAGTGAGGAAACCTTTTCTTAATGGGTAGAAAGAATTTTCAAATATGTTATTTGCCATCTATTTATTTAATTTGGTATTTATCCAATAATAAAATGAAAAATACGTGGACTTTTCTTGAGAACCGCTTGTACTCATTTCTTCCCAGAAGTTGGTTCTGGGGGAAAAAGCAACATGTTTTTTTTTATTAATTTTAGAGGTTTTATTTATTTATTTCACTGTGAGATGCAGATAATAGATATCAAATACTTAGCACTGATATGTTCAGATAGTACCTCATATGGAAAAAGGAACACTTGGAATAAAGCAGCGATATAATCTAAACCAGTATGTAATGAACAATAAGAAAAATACAATAAACAAAGGCTAAAAGTATCTTATAAGCCTTATATCACCTTGTTGACGATAGCTACAGTAGCTTTAAATCTGTTCATAAGCCTATTGAATTGCAGTGTGGAGATAATTAAGTTTTGTGTCTTGACTGTCTTATTAAAATGATGATCTTGAAGGTTCCGTGCACTGATACAAAACTGATTTTCAACCTTCTTTTATTCATCCTGTTTTATGCTATTGTCAGTGATTAAAGAGCAGCCATTTTCCCTTACGGGATCTAATTTATCTGGTAATTCAGCCTTTCCCACTGTTTCTGTGGGAAAGAGAATTTTTTTTTTCTCTCTCCATTGTAATTGACTTCTTCTCATATGTTTCACTTCGAATTTAGATTTTCTGGAACAGAGAGAACCTGATTTGTGGTGTTCCTGGTAGTATTGCAGTGATATGATTACATTTATGTGGATGGTGATGTGACAAATATAAAAGTAACTTACCTAATACTCCAGTTCCTTTGGTCATTGGGTTGTTTACTTTATTAATCTATTTTGGGGGGCAGAGGCAAAGAGAGGAAGGTAGAGAAGGACCTAGTTCCTGATAAAGTGGCCAATTCCTGATAACACGGTGATACCCTGGTATTAGTAAGTATGATGTTCATACTTACTAATTCCTCAGAGTCCCAGATTATTAAAAAACAACAACAACACACACACACATGAAAAAAGCCTCTATCTCCACATCAATGAAAAACTAACTTGGTGTAAGTCTCACTGACTGGAAATTCGTAGTCTCCTTGGGGTGATAATTCTGTTTTTATATTCCTACTGTCTGTATCAATAAGTACTTTTAAAGAAGTATTAATTCTAGCAGCATGCATAAGGCATAAGGGCATGCTGCAGGCACTCTTCTTATGCAGAGAATAAATTTCTCCCAACTGGTAGATGAGCTGGTGACTCAGTTCATTGAAGTTAATTGCATCATAGCATAAAGTCATGAATCCCTACTGCCCAAATATATGCCTGTGCTGCTCACTGCCCAGATCCATCTTTGGTTTTGCTTATGTAGTGTTTTATTTTGTTATTTGTTGTTGGCTTTTTTTTTTAAATAAATACTTTATCAGAGACATAGGGTAGCACAATGCTCAGTACCTGCTGATACAGTACCTGTACTGTCTGCACAACATGAAGTATATTACTCATTGCAATGTCACTGATGCCATCCATCTGGCTAGTAACATTGGCAGCTAAACTGATTTGTGTGCTCCGCAGTCATAACTAATGGCCTTTTGAAATAAGTCATATCAGTAGGGAATGTAAATTACCTCAGTAATCTGAATATAAATGTTGATTGTTAAGGGGATCCTGGAAGAAATGTTGAATAACTTATTTGTATAATTGAGTATGAGTTTAGAATATTACTGAATAGATCTAGAACTTGCTGTTCAGAACCACCATATAAAATTGCAGCGTGCATGTTGTAGAATATCACAGAGACAGGAAAGTGTCTACTCTTTTCTTGAGTTCATAGATTATTTATTTCATGTACAAGCCTCCTTTGAAGACATTGTTAATGATGCACTTTTGACTTCTAGTAAATGTGAAATTATTTGTCTTGTGTCTGTGCACGTATGCGCCTGTGTGCATTGGTGCGATATTTCCTCTGTGCACTGAGAAATAAAGTAATGCAAGACAGGGAGTAATCAGCTCCCTCACTGGAAACATAGATGCTCTAAGATTGCTTAAATAGCATAAATACGGGAAGAGGAGAATATGTAATGACGGTAAATTGCAGTGTAGTTTTAATTTTATTTCCATTTTGGAGATCGTACTTGTGATTAGTGCGAGCAGTTTGCAGATACTCCATTTTCCTGTTGAATAGAATTGTGTAATGTGCAATGGGGGTGGATCTGCATCTGGGCACAGAATTTCTCCTTAAGTGTCTTTAACTTTTTCTGTCAAAACAAGTTAATTTTATGTATTTAGTTTTCTTTTTGTTCAAAACACAATTTTGTTATCACTTACTGCGCTAATAATGTTTACTTAGAACTTTTGACCTTATTTGGGATCCAAAAAGTGATGGCTTACTTTTCATTTCTATCATGTTGCTTGTGAATGTCCTTCAGGTATGATATCCAGCTAAAACAGTTTGTGAAAAGGCATAGGCTCTGTTTTATTTCCTCTGGAATTCCTCCGAGAGCCTTTTGTGCCATGTTAGATTAGCTTCCATAGCACAGCACTAAGAATGCTAGCTTTTAAAAAGGTATATTGGAATAACACACTTAATTACTTGTAAAAGCACTAGCTGATAAACTACCTAGGCATTTAATAGTGCATTTTAATGCTTGCTGAAACTCAGTCTAGAAAATTGAAAACTCTACTGCTGTGACAGAGAAAAGAATGCAAAGCAATCTGATATCAGATTCTATGCAGGCACTAAGATAGTATATGGTTCCCTACCTGAGAACCTCACTTACCAGAGCATTGGTCAGGGTGATAGAATGTCCGTATGTGGAATTTACTATGCAGAATCAACCCAGCATGGATTGAGTGGTTTGAAAGCTGGCTATTTACCAAATCTCTCCTACAAAAATTCTGTGCAGAAGCTTGCATATAACCCAGGTCTTACTGGGAAAAGTTTCTCAAAATTATAGTATATTTTCCATCTGCTGTAAGGATTAAGCTGCTAAACTTTTCTAGTGTGGGTACTGTGGCTCAGACAAAACTTAGGCCTGTCATGCGGAGGACTGCTCAAGACTCATGGCCTGTTGTACAAGAAGTTAGACTAAATCTTTGTAACACTCCATTTAATCAGTGCAGATGATCCTTGCAGTACAGTTGACTTTTTTGCACAAGCTTGTATATCTGTCTCAGTGAACTGATTACTTTCAAGAAACGTAACATCTCTTCTTGTTCAGATCTGATAGTACGAATAGCCTAGACTATCTTAGAGATGCTGGGATACTCCACATCAAATCTCTAGAAGAAAAAAGCAAGCTACTTGCCAGTTTGCAATAAGTATAACATTGGCTTACATTTTGTTTTTAGGAGTCACTCCACATAATATTTTGTTTCAGTTCCAACAGCTTTCTCATTCTTGTCTTAATGCTTATTTTTGTTTTTCTTCCTCTTTGAAGCTTATTCTCAACCAGTGGACAACCATATCACTCCTTCTGCCTACTTAGGACAGTCCCTTCCCCCAGCATCTCCAGGGCGATATTCACCAATTCCAAAGGGAATGCTTGGAGATGATGAGATTACCAGGTAATGAAGAAGAAAAGCTACATTAGTTAACCACGAAAGCTCAGAATATGTGTTTTTGGGAAAAATGCTCATAAAGATATTTCAAAGCATAAATGCATCTATTTCTTACAATTTAATTACTGTTTTAAGAAGCAAATGGATGTATTTTAAAAAATATATACATGATATGTCATTCTTGGAGTAGTGTTAAAATCAGAATGCCCTGCCAAAGTGCTTCGTGAATTGACTGAACTTTTTAGGATGGTGTATGGATCATCAGAATGGCTAGAGAGCTCTTAACCCTTCCCATTAGCAACCATTCATTACTTCACCAATTCAGTAGAAGACTGCATTAATCTTTTTGTTCATCAATACAGCACATCTAATTTTGTTACTTTTCTCTCCTGCAAGTCGGGAATGTTAAACTGCGTTTTCAGTATACTGTTGCTCAAATCTGTGCCACACTATTGTCTAATATGGGTAGCGTCATTCTGTTTCTGAGAAGGAGTCTACCCAGATTAAAGCATAAGTGAGATGGTTAAATTGGAGAATGAGTTTCTGTGTATTAGAAACTGAGATGGCCTCAGATATGTCTTTATATTGTTTAACTTATGGTTAGGTGGACATGTGTGCCGGAGTGGTTCTATCCTTCTGATGGTATTGCTGATGTTATAAGTGTACAGCTTTTCTCAAAATTACCAAGATTTTTGGGATTCCTATGAAATGTAAGGGCTATTCAAGGAGGGCTTTAGGTGTTCTTGAAATTACCTTCCCTTTTTCCACTGCTTTCATCCCAGAAAGAGGCTTAGATATGTCGAATAACATGTAAAAAGATGCCATGTATGTATGTTCTCTAACTGCAGCTTATCTGTTGTGTTGCGTTTTCACATGGTTATACATTTGTAATAAAACAGCGCTCTGAAAAGATGAATCTGACATCTGGTAGAGGGTAAAATTTAAGAATTTGATGCTAGATTGATCTAAAAGCTACTGCAGAAACGGTGAAGTTTAAAAAATCAGACTAGATTATATTTTTTGTTTTGGAAAAAGGCAGCATCTTAGTTTGTCCTATAAATTAATAATTTATGTCTCCAAATATTTAAGAATGTCCGTTAATTGTTCTTTAGTGCTCTCTAGTGATTTTTAAATGTAGTGCACATTTTCTTTTTTATTATTAGAAGTTTTCTGTTTCTGAAATCATCCCTGCTTTTATTCTACTGGAGAAAACAGCAGATTTTTGGAGGGAGGGTTTCTGCACTAGATGTTGACTGGCTGTGTCTATTGAATTCACTCTTCTAACTTGATCAGCATTTCTTCTTTCATTTCCTGATCCAAGTCAGGAAGCCAAGAATTAAACAACTTGGTTTGGATTAAACTTTTTCAGTTACGATTTCTGCAAATAAATTTCAAATATATTTGAGAGTGCTACGATTTCTTTTTGCTACATTTTTTTTTGTCCAACTAGAATGGAATTAGAACAGCAAGGACACACGTTTCGTTATCAACTTTTCCATTAGAATTTAATTGGTATGTTTCAGAAAAATAGTGTTTTTATTACCGTTAGATTGTTCCAGGCTCTTGAACAATATGAAAAGTATTAAATATTGTCACGTAGTGCTGCATAAGCAGCATAACAGGAATTTAGAATATGTACATACGAATGGGTAGCTCAGTTCACCTAACAATGGGAAGGGTTTTTTTGCATCTACAAGCTAAATAGAAGGTATACAAATAATAGAAAATATTTGAAAATATAACTGGTTAAACATATAATGTTTGATACGTGAATTTTCAATACTTTTTCTCTCATATGACTTAGCTTTCCTTTCCTAATTATTTATTTCAATTTCATTCATGACTTGTGACTAAGCTTTGGCATTCCTTTCTTTCATCCAGGGAGCCTAGAAAGGTTGTCCTGCATCGAGGATCAACGGGTCTTGGTTTCAACATTGTTGGAGGAGAAGATGGAGAAGGAATTTTCATCTCTTTCATCCTTGCAGGAGGACCAGCTGACCTCAGTGGAGAACTTAGGAAAGGCGATCGTATAATTTCTGTAGGAATCCTTGCTTCTTTTATTTAAATACCAGCAACAAAAAAGTTTTCCCTACATTTGATACTAATGACAGATAATACAGTATAAATGTAAATAATATTGTTAATTAACTGAGCTGAATTTGAGGCAATGGAACAGTAGCCAGTATATTTCTGAAGTATCTTTAAGGATGTTAGTCTGCTTCAGTTTCTCATCTCTACCTCAATGAAAATGACACTATTCTATCTCAGATGTTATTCAGAGTGAAAAATTGTAAGACTTTAAGTAATTTTTACTGATATCTGAGCTGTGTGTGTGTGTCTAAATGGAAAGAATGCAGGTTTCAGAAACAAGCCTTCTAATGAGATGGAGACATTTAGCAGTAATATCTGGAAACTGATGCTTTGCTTCCTGGATTAACTGCAGAACTTCCCATTAGTTTTAATTGCACCCATCTCATACCTCAGGGCTTTTCCTGTATTAGTACTGAAAGTCATAAAGATCTTGTGTTTCTTCCTGAAATGACTTAATTTATGAAAAATAATTTCTCAGAACAGTTACATTGTGTTTTGGTAGATATCTAAGAAAAAAAATAATTTTGGCTCTGCTGTCATTAAAATTCTGTTAATAAAGTACATCTTTATTTTAAATTGTAATAATGAAAAAACACTTTTGGTCTATAATATGACACATTTCTGCTTCAATTTTTTTTTTCTGACACTTTTTAAAATGGCTGCATTGAAAGCATGGAGGATGAGGTCTGTTACTGAATTTTAAGCACAGTGGTCTGTAGGCATGCTTTTACTAAGGAGCTCCATTGAAGTCCTGTTGTAGAAAGGTGAACTGAACCATCACAGAAGGCAGCATTCAGTGCATGTCCTTAAAAAGAATGAAAAAGATCTTAAACAAGAAAATTGACTTAGCAATAATAAATTCATGAAGTGATATACTGTGATTATTTGTTTCTTAACAGATGGTTATACGTGAGAGAAGATTCACCGCCTTTTGATTTCAGTAAAGATCACTAATTTTCGTTTATATTAACTATTCATTATAAGGAAACAGGAAAATCTCACAGGACGTGGAAACTTGTTTGTATCCACTTAATTCTTTTTTATTCGTGAGTCTGTATTTGTGATGATAATAATAAACACAAACATTTATGTTGATAAAAAGGATTTTTTGTACAATTTGCAGGTGAATGGAGTCGACCTGAAGGCAGCCACCCATGAACAAGCAGCAACAGCTTTGAAGAATGCAGGCCAAGCAGTAACTATTGTGGCTCAGTACCGTCCAGAAGGTAAGATAGTTTCCATACACATTTGAGTTGCACTTCTATAATTTGAAAATCAGATAATTTAAAATGTCTTCCCATCCCATCCCCTCCTAACCCCTTTTGAGCATAACAGAAACAGGTAATGTAATAGATGTTGATACATACCTGTTAGCGTAATTGCAAGTAAGTGTTAGTGCCAAAGCTTGGTATGTTACTTACTCAGATTGTGTTCAGAATTTTGATTTCTTTTCTAAATGATAGCACTGTTAGGATGTGAAAGTTAAGCCAGTAAATCCACAACCGAGTAGAAATACCCCAGCATTACTTACATCCTACTACTGACTTTACCTTTTAATATGGTGTTTTATTTTCTTTATCAGTAGGAGGATAAAAGACTAATTCCTACTCTGTTGTGTTGACCTAAAGAAACCATCAGATTTTCATTCCTCTGTTTCATGCTAAGCTGGTATTTCCACTTATCTAGTAATTTCTTCTGATCTGGATTAGACTGTAGTGGGTGCTGATTAACCATCCTTCTGGACTCTGCAGAAGCAAAATAATTTTGTCTCATCACAATACAGTATTGTCCTCATGCACTTGTACAGCAAGTTTCAAATGCCTTTGTCTATTTGAGAACTTCAACAATTCAGTGATCTAAAATGATGTACATACATAGAGTCTGTAAGGCCACGTATTATTATTATGCATATGACAAGACATTCTTCATGGCTTGTTATGAACTGTTGTCAACAGCTTGTTCTGTGGTTTTACTAACTTGGAAGGCACACAACTAAATCTTGTTTGCACTGATTTGTCTGCTTAAAACTTTTCCGTTAGCAGTCCTAGCAGTGAGTAAGTGTAAGTGTTTATCTGGACATTAAGCACTGCCATATTCATCTGAAATTGTTAGGTAGCTCATTGCTGCACACTCTTCTTCATTCTCTTTTTCTGCTTTTCTGTCATGTTTCTTTTACCCTTCTTATCTTGTTCTCTCTGAGCCTTTAAAGTGTTAGCTTTCATATTTCCCTCCTCTCCACCTGTGTCAACATTGCATCATATGTTCACCGATCCAGAAACTTCTGTCAGTAATAAGGCCAACTTATTTGTTTGTGTCTGCTTCACAGTCAAATCCCTGCAGCCAGCCCATAGGGTCAATGCCTGTGTTGTCTTTTGAGTGTGTGCATCCTGTTCACATGTTGAATCTGTAGACTGTTCTGTTCCAAGACTGGAAATAATAGAAAGGTCAGCATTGGTTCTGGCATGTTTGCTTAGGCTTTGTATCTGAATTATCAAGTATTTTTGTTGATATACATTTGGCCTATCCTCTGTTAATTCTACAGTGTTCTCGTAGGTGAGCCAAATTGTTACACCCAGTAGCCCCAAATGTAATGATCTTTCTACTTATTAAGAGTTAAAACTTGTGCTTTTATTTACTTGTGGGTTGTTCTTTTGAGGCTTTTTTTTTTCTTTTTTTTTTTTTTTTTCTTTTTTTACAAAGAGGGCATTCTTGGTCACTCTTTCTTCTGCCAGAAAGATATTTTGAGTAGTGGTTCCTAGTAGCAGAACAAATGTTTCTCTGCTAGAACATATTCCGAGACACAGTCATTTTGTTTCTTCCTTGCCAAAAAAATGTGTTCAGACTTCATCTAAAAGAAGCAGTTTTTCAGTCCTCTTTTTCTGGCACTCATACTTATAAAAGCAAAGGATCGCTTTAAACTCCAAAGGTTGGAACCCACTTTTCCTAAGAAAGAACTAAGCATTTTAGATGGTTCCTGCTCTTTCTACACTGGAAAACAGCTTTCTTCATTACTGCTTGTCCAACTAGATAACTCATTTTCTTGAAACACATTTTGAGGTGCTTGACCGATGGGAATTTGACTCACTGCACAGAGGTTTGCCTACAGCAACACAGTCCTTCCTCTGTTACAAATTTCTCAGTAACTGTCACTTGTAGGCTTTATACTAAGAGCTGCACTTATTACTGTATGGTTACTGAAGCATAGGGACCAAAACTGTGTGCAGCTCAGCTGTATTAAGAATATGGATCTCAAGGAATTATAGAGGCCTAATTGAAAAAGTAGTTGTGGGAGATATTTCTTGAAATATCCTAGGTTTTAGACAGACATCTGATATCTTTTCTTCTTATAAAGGATTTTTTTCCTTAGAAAAAATCCTTAGAAGGATCTTTTTTTCTTCTAATATGTTTTGTCCACATGCCAACTTTTCCCTCTGGAGTAATGCTTTAATCCCTATTTGGAGTGGGAATGTTGGAAGCATGTCAGGGTTTACCTTGTCCTTTTGAAGTGTGCCACAGAAGAAAAGTGTATGTACGAGATTGAGATCCATTGTAGTTTGGAGACAAAGCATGAAGAGAGTATGGAGACACATGGCCAACATACCACAGAGAGCTCTAGCTACTTATGTCTGACTTTTGTCATCTCTGTCGTTTTCTTACTTCTTGTGAAAAGAGGTTGAGTGGAATTCTAGCTGTCAGTTTCTTTCCAATCTGGTGTAGGAAGTAATTTGGATAAGATATTCACTGCTTACTGCTTAAGAATCAGTAAAAAAAAGTATTTTCTTAAAGGTTCCTGATTATTTTCTATTATAGCAAAGCATTCTGCCTGAGATACAAGTTTCCAAGTAGAAAATATAATCCCGCTAATATTGAGTATTTAATAAAAATACATATATATTCTGATTGTCTTGAAATTTCCTGGATTATAGCTGCTGTTGGTCTTGTTTTCCCTTAACTTGATTCAGTTAAGTTGGGAATGATACACTCTATCTCTGTTTTTTGTTTCTGCCATTCAAGAAAAGGTTAAAAAGTATTTAAACGAATAGAGCATGAAATTACTGTTTGTCATCAGTGTTTCTCAAATGTCTTCCTAAAGATGAAGAATATCAGTTCTAACTGCTTGTATTGCATATGTGTGTTATTTATATTTATGATTCTAGTTGGATTTTAGTAAAAGATGCTGACAGCTAGGACAGATCAAGGAGATTCTAGACATCCATCAGTACTCATTATAACTGGGTAAATAAATTCAGTATGATAGGAGCATTTGGAAGACACTTGGGACCAGCTCACTTCACTGCCTGTAACTGTATATGACAGTCTGTATGTTCAAAGATGTGGTTGAAAATGCTAATTTGTATTGTAGCATCCTGCAACATTTGCTCTTTCAGAAGCTCCCCTTCTGTCTTTCTGCTCTGGTTTCTGGGAAGAACAAAACCAAAAACTTTGGAGGCAGTTCTCTCCTATAAAGGCCTCAGTAGACTGTATAATGTAAATAAATAAAAATCATTGGAAAACTCCTGCCATGGTAGATATTGAATTTTCCATATCCCAGTCTCCTCAAATCCAGTTGGACAACACAGTTTAGTGAGCAGTAGTTACTACTCCCTAGATAGGCTAACATTGCTGAACGGTACTGCTGTTACTGTATTTGGGCTCAGATTATGTAACTGAGTTTCTTTTTCTTTTAAATCTCCAAAATGTTCCTTGGTTATAGAATCAGAAAACCATGAAACTGTGTGAAAACAAATGTAATCTTATGCCTTCGAATATCCTTCTGGGCATGCATTTTATTTTCAGCAGCATTTAGTAATTTTAGTGATGCCTTACAAAATTTGCCTCCTATGCTCAATCACGTTTCAGACACCCATGCTTTGGAATAGCTGAAAGCCAAAGAGAAAATGTGTAAGTATTTTCTTGTTCACTAAAGTGGCTTGTACATCATGCACCACTTCTGTACACTTGTGTCACAACTGTAGCCAGCTGGCTTCTGTCTTCTCCAGTACATTTTACAATTTACCTTCAAACTCACCTAAATTCAGATGTTGTGAGACATTGAGTCATACTGGATTTACTAGTACATACTTGTGTGGAATATGCATATGCACGTGTTGTGTGCATATCAGAGAGAGCACTTGGTTTTAACCTGCTGGGGCTGAGTGCTGCTGAAAGGTAGAAAAGAACAGAAGCTTGGGAGATAGGAATTACCCTGTAGAGCTGGTGAGTAAGTCAGGATGTTGTTCTCATTTTCCTCTTCCTTTTGAATTCCTTTTTGTTATTCTCCCTGGGGCACTGCACATTTCTATCTCCCTTTAGGACATCGTTTGTGAATAAAATGGGATTTTGCTTTATAGTGAGTTCTACTGAAAGCAAAGAACCATTACCCAAAGCAGTATTAAAGAAGGCGATGTTCCTCCAGTGCACAAAAGCATTTGATGAACCATTCTCATTTGTAAAGGTTTCTGCGCCATTACATCTTTCTGTTGTTCTCTAGTTCTGCAGAGACCTCAGTGCCACTCTGCCTTCTCTCTCTCTCTCTTTTTTTTTTATTATTTGTATCTTCTTCAGGTTTTCCACAAATGTAGGATGGTAAGGAAAAAATATGATAATAGTGTGAAAGAATGAATGGAAGCTCTAAGCCATTTAGATTTCTGTGTATCTCTTGGAGTGTCTATTCAGAGCTGGTCACTGAAACCATCGTGCTACCTAGCAGTGTGTAAAGGGAATGTAGTGAGGAGAGGAGCAGCAAGGGGGAGTATAGGACTGTCCAGAGACATACTGCCTCTGGAGGGATCTATTTAACTCTTCCCGCCATTTCACAAGGACATCTCCACTTCCATTATGTCCAATGAAGTTAAAAGGTCATCTGAAACATTTGCTTGTGTTTTGAGGATGACATAATAATACAGGCTTACCTCAACATTTCTAGAAGGTTAGATTTGGCCATTGCAACAAGGAATGAGGTGCCAGTATACAACCACAACTCTATCGTAGGTTGTGTGCATGCAAACATTTCAAAATAAGAAAAATAGCAAAAGAAATACATTTAAAATATGAAAATACATAAAATACGGAATTTGGGTAGGAAATCATTTTGTGGATTAAACACTTTTTCTTTCTTAAATTCTACTAGCTCAAAACTGGTCAATTAAGTCCATACTTTTTATTAATTTCAGTTACACACACATAACTGTGAAGAGTGCTCTTAGAGGTCATGGAAAACAAAAGC